TCTCTCTCTCATTTCTGAGAGCTTGTTGCTCCCACTGAGCGATGAAAGCTCAGACTAGCTCCTCGGAAACCAAATCTGACCGTTAGAGCAAATGATAATAAATCAAGTATATTCTGTCTCTCATTTCCCCATCACTTTCTCAGCCTCTCTCACCATCTCATCTCCATGTGCACGCGCATACACACAGTCTCACACACAGATTTAAATGATGCATTCATGTCAGCATAAATTACAGCAATAATCTCTGTTGTACCATCAGAGAATCAGACACTGGTGCAGTTGGTGTTTTAGCATTGATGTGTTGTGGTGCCTCCATGCCAGCTAATTTTGATTGGTGTGTGTCTGGGTGTGTTTGTTTAAACTCACTTGGCTTTCCCGAACAAGTTTGATCTGAGTAAACAAGGAGCCAGCCAAATAACTGGAGTGAGAGGGACAGACACAGGGTCAGAGAGTGTGTGAATCAGTGAGACAGGCAGAAAGGCAAGAGGCAACCACTTACTCAGGCTAAACCCTGAAGTCATGGACAGGAAGCTGATATTTTCCCAGACTTACTTTACTCTTTTTTTTGGAGTCTGATCCGACAATTGTAGCTTCCTCTGAGGGGCTAATAATACAACAGAGCCATTGTGCCATGCGTCGTTTCCCTTCGCCTGGTTTAGCAAGAGAGAAGGCGTCTGCATGAAATCTTTCCACTCCCAGTGTGGTTGGGTGGAGCTTTTATTGCCATCAGATTGGATTGTCACACCACATTGTAATTATGCACTATTATAGTCTGGCTCGGATGAATATGAATACACAGATACACAGTGCTCTAGCTAGTAGCCTCAATAGGCACTAAATTCCCTGTGTCCATCTTGTACTGGTGTTTTAGTTTTTTCTAAATCAGTTATTTTTAGCTGTGCAGAAAGTGTGAATTATGGGCAAATAATTGCAGTTTTCTATTGACTTTATATGCAATCGTTCTGCCTAAAACATTTGCTGTCAAATCTGCCAATGTGATTGGATTCATGTTTGCATTATTGGTTGTTTCCAATATAACTTGTTTCAAGAATGTATAGGATAAACCAGTGTTGTTATTTCACCCAAATAGTAGAAATTAGATTTGGAGTCCATGGGTGCTACGAGACCCAAAATAAATGTTGCAGATTAACTCTCATGTAGGTGGGACTGTGGTCATCATCATCATCATCATCATTATCATCATCTTTGAATGAGTTTTGTATGACATTTTCTATTGCTATTGCTATACTTCTATTATTAATGGGCCTACCATGCATTGTCTTCCTGTAACTGTATGCATCCACATCTGATAAGCTAACTACTTTGGGTATTGTATAGATGGTTTCCTTCTGATAACAGTAAAACTAACAATGCTGATCTGAAATCTGATAGTTAACATCTGGTTTGTTTTTATTGCGATTGCAAACAACTTTGAGAGATAAGAATGATTTGTATCAACTTTTAGTTCTCATCGCCTTAGGTGGAAAGTGTGTTTCAAAGGTTGCTTAGTAAACAGGCGAGTGACTGCATTAGCATTTCTTTAGATTAAAAACATCCATAGTGCTTTGTGTCTTATTTGTCCTGTGGGACGGGGCCGAGTTTTATTAGAAACTGTGTTGTGAGCAGGTGCGGCATGAAAATAGTCCCACACAGACTTGAAGGCTGAATGTGAGATGAAATTACTTGTTAGATGGATGGCTTTTGTAGTGTTCTTGACACAGCCTTATAAAAAATATAAGTGATCTTGCAAATGAAATATTAACCCCAGCATTGCTTTCCTCTTCACTTCGTACCGATGCTACACCTGCATTGCATCGAACGTGTGGGCTCCTTTTATACGGTATAATGTTTCGTTGAATTTTTAAACACACAAACCTTCACTTTATTATTCACCTTTCCCAGACACACAAATGATCAATGGTGGGTTGGGAGATGAGATGATAATATAAAATCACAAGAAAAAGCATTACTCTTAGATGCGTAGTAAGAAAAGAGTCGTTTTTATGACCCAGACAGTGCAACATTAATAAGATTAATCACCGTGAATCCCAGCTTACCCTTGATCATCCCCACAGGCAAAGCAAAGCCTGTCTGGTCAGGTTGACCAGTTTGTCTATCTCTGTTTGTGCGTGTCTGGGTGTGTGTGACTATAGCCTTGCATGCATCCCTATCTGTTCATCTGGTTTCTGGCCTGTCATGCTGTTTGTCTCCATGTTTGGATAACCATGCATCTATCATTTTATCAGTAAGTCTATCAATTGGTGTGTGTCCATGGGTGAAATGACCACTGAGTTTCCCGCTGTGTCGACCACATGCTCCACTCCATTCTCCTCACCTCGGGTCCTCCTTTTTAACCCACCTGGCCGCTCTACCTTGACCACCCATGTTGTTCGGTCTGGTCTGGCTTTTTGTGTTGCCCTGAGCGATCACATTCGTCTGGCTTTATCATCCTCGGGGCCCCATGTGGGGTCCCTGCAGGTGAAAATGGTACTCCATGAAAACAATTCCTACTGGGCGGACTAAACAAATGCAAAGTGGCATACAGGACATTTTCATACAGATGCATTTTGCTACTCTCAATTGCAAATGCATATTCCATACTAGTGACTCAACCAGTACAACACAGTACTATTCTGTTTTATTTTTATGGCATCTCTGTGTCAGCAGATAACAATCTTGTAACCACAGAACAACCATAGATTTCCACCTTAACTGAACAAATAAGGCAGTGAGCAACACTTACACTCAAATTACTACGTGAAAAATAAGTCCATTCTGACTATGAACCATTAACCCAGTCATTGCCATCAGATTCTACAGCAAAATCCTCTATCCTCTCCCTGCACCCGATCTCAACTCCTTTCTCTCTCGCCTTACAGCCAAATTCTCCAGCAGTCAGAGAAAATAAAGGTCTAATTTGTCTTGGTCAGACCTTGTGAGCACAAATACCTGACCAGTGGGCCCTGTGGTTAGTGGAAGTCTAGGGGAAGTGCATGTCTCGCTGTGTATAAGCTTACCTGTCTCAATGCATGACGTGGTTTTTGTGCAAGGTTGTGTGAGGATTTACCCATTTGTCTGTGTGTGAGTGCTTTTTTTGCCTAGATCTCTTTGCTTATCTCTTCTTATTATGGCGCTAATTACCAGGGTGTGGACTCAAAAGGACAGAGGTTTTTAGTCCAGAGACAGAGGGTTGGATTGGTGTGTTCCAGTCTAGACTAATCTGGATGATTATGTGCGCCACAGTGATATACAGTGAAAAACAGAGGATTTGGCAGGGGGATTGTTTTTGTTTTACCTGCATCCTTCCTCTATTTAACAGTTTACAAAGGATGCCAGGAAAAGACGAATCAGTTTTGCAAAAATATCAAGACAAAAATTGGAATCTGATCCAATTACATTACAAGGTCCCTCTTTTCGCTGATGAAATGATTCTCTTTCAGTGTGCTCGTGAATTCTTGAAGGTATGTTACAGATATTAACTTCATCCAAAACAATTGAAATACGTGCTTGCACCTCCTTGCCCTGCTGTAAACATTCACTTGTGCCCTCTTTAAACTTTCTTCCAGTCTCTATTTAAGGGGCAGACGCTAGTAAAACTACGCAGCTGTCTGCCCTCTCTCTTTCTCTCTGTAAACCAAGCCAGCTGTCTGCCCTCCACCTCTGACCTTGTTTTGATGAACACTGTTGTCTGTGTGTGTGTGTGTGTGTGTGTGTGTGTGTGCGTGTGCGTGTGTGTGTGTGTGTGTGTGTGTGTTTGAGTGCACACATACGTATGTGCGTGTGTGCATACATGTCAATGGGCTTTCAGTGCGACCCTTGACCTTTCGTGACTGACAGGCTAAATCTAGCCACCCTGCCTCTTGCTCTTGTTCTCGTCTCCTTTTCTCCCCTCTGTTTCCTGACTGATAGCCTGTCAGTGGGACAAGCACTCAGGCTCGGAAATTATGTGTGTGTGAGGGGGGAGTGGGGGTTGGGGCGGGAAAGGGGGGCGTTGGGGGTTGTGTGCCAGTGAGACAGGGAGGGAAAGAGAGCACGTTCAAGTGTGTGTTTGTGTATAGGTGAAGGTGTGTGCACAACCTAAGGGGGTCGCAGAGGAAGACACTGTCCAGACATTTCAAAAATAACAACCCATATAGTCGTGAAGTTGTGTGTTTGATTGTGTGTGTGTGTCTGTGTGTGTGTGTTTGTCGTTGCAAAGAGTATCTGGTAATTATTTAGTCAGGCTTTGACCTTTGACCCTGTCCTTTGACCTCCCACATCCTGTTCAACTGGAGAGAAGATGGACACACATTCATACATATGCACACACCCACACACACTCTGGGGTTTAAGGGGGTTTGTGTTTGTGGGGGCTGGGAGTAAATTCAGAGGTTTAGCGCTTTCACCAATGTGAGTAGTTCAGGGTAGAAAAGCACAACTGGACGATCAAGGAATGTGCGCAAAATTGATCAAACGTGCCTCAGAGATACTGTTAACACACACATTAAGTAGGAGAAATAGAGAAAGGAGGCAGCTGTTATTGAAAGTTTTTGGACAATTACTGGCAATAACATTACCATTTCTTGATTACTGCATGCACCAGGGTTTTGTTCATTCAACAAAAATACCCCAAATAAAAAAAAAAAAGATATTGCCTTGGCCACCAAGTTTTTTTTTCGACCAATACAATAAAGGAAAAGCAGCAGGAGTTCGCTCTGGGCTCTTTCCCTGCTGGATTACATTACTTCGTTCTTTTGTGATAACATCTACTGAGAGCCTTATATTAGCCCTCATTATGCATGTCTAAGCTTTGTGTATTTGTGTGTATGTCTATGTGTACTGGGTAATCGCACCAGTGTATGATGTTTCCAGTTTGTTTTATGTTCTATAACCATATGCTGTATGTTCATTTGCGGTATGTCAAATATATATGTACAGTATGTGTAAGAGAACGAGACTCTTAATTGTCTCTTTTTTACAGCACATTAATGACAATAATTGTTTATTTTCTCATCTCTTAGATGCATTGTGTCCTATCCCCAGGACCCCTGGCTGTGCAGCTATAGCCACTGATGATTAAGCAACAATGCAGACAAAAATGAAGGTATGGTGGCCTCCCATTTTTATGGTTACTACTGCAGTGCCTGTTCGAACAGGCTGGTCGCTTGGCCTCCGTTATTGCTGCTTTCTCGGGAACCGCTCATCAATAAAACTTCACGCTCAACACTGCACTTCCTTGGGTCCTAAACTATACACCTGCCATAGCTGCATCCCCCAGCAATGTTGACGGAGAGCGAGCTGTAGCCAACATGCCCTTTGGCAGTGAAACAGTTAATATGGGTCCCCTCTCAATACACTACACAGTGTGCACATAACGCAGTGTTAATAAATGTGTCCCATACACCGCAAGTGATCGCACTTGACACTGCACGTCCTTGGGTGCTCAGCAATACATCCGCCAAGTGGGAAGTTGATCAGATGAAAGGTTGTCGAGAAAAATCAAAGGATGGACGGACAGAAAGACACTCACACACATTTAAGTTTGATGGATGGATAGTAATTTGATTATATGGTAAATCTGGTTATGTTTTTGCTTTGATCAGACTTATAGAATATAGTAAATACACTAGTTATAAGTGTCGTGGTTGCATTCCCGTAGCCATATCTCAACACTGCAAATATCCCAGCAGTGATAGCAGCAAATATCCTCACGAGATGCATCAAAACAAAACATAAAGAAGAGAATGTATAGTCGCATGATGACATTTATTTCACCAGTCTTCCCAAGGTATCAAACATTAAAACACACACAATAAAACAATGCAGCAGTATAGAAAACAAAGTAAAAACAATAATAATACTGCAGTGAAGTGGAATTCAATAAAATCACTTGAAAGCGCAGACTCAATTATGGTGAGGCTTGAGTTTAGCTGGAGGGGAAAACTTTGTTTTTAACTGCTGGGGCTGGGTGAATGGGTTGACTTGGTGCTTGGGTGAGATATTTGTCTGGGCAGTGTGTGTGCGAGAGTGTGTTAGTGTGAGTGTGCGAGTGTGTTTGTGTGTGAATGTTAACGGATGTCTGTGTATGTAAGCCACACAGACCCTATCCTTAATTCCAGGGTGAACTTGGACTTCCTCCCCTTTCAAGTCTTCTTGTCAACACAGACTGACACGAGATGTTTCTAAATGAGTCATCTCTCTTTCTCACTCATTCTTCTTTTACTGAGATGTTTGTTGTTCTTATAATATCCTTCTATTGCAAACAGCTAATTTAGCAGCTACAGCATATTTCAACTGTTATTTGGCCTATAAATGATGTGATAAGATTTTTTAAATGATTCTGATGGCCTGCATTTTGGTTTGTGGAAAGGAATAAACATGGCGGTGCAGTTTATGTGTTGATTTTATTTGTTTAATGCCAGTGTCCCCTGGTTGGATCTTTGAGGGTAAACGGTTGGGCATGCATTTCTCTCTGTCACACTGTCTTTTATGATACTACCAAAAGGAGTTGCCAAAGTGAGAGATATTAAAAATCCTATCCATAAGGGGCTTTAATATAATTATGGCAACTGTAAGTCTTAAATTAGTGTTATATTACTGTTTAAGTTATTTGTTTCGTAACCTCTTCTCTCTCACAGCAATTTCCATTGTCACTTTACCTATAAAAGAAAACTGCAGTACATCTTTATATCGAATATAGTGTTGACCGCCTACATGGGATGTTCTCTAAGTTCCCAAAGGTGTTAGTTGTCAAGCCTTCAGCTGTGTGCTTGTTCAATGTCACCTCACACCAGACCTCACCTTGCTGGCTTTTCACCTTTTGAAGGGTGAACTTTAACCTTCAGAGAAATGACCTTTGATCTTAACAGGTCCTAATAGTGCAGAGAGGACTGCTGGTGACAGGAGACAGATGGAAACACACATACCGTACATGTAAATGCAGATACACATGTGCCAGTGCGCAGGCATGAGACACTCTAATAGAGTGGAAAGCTTTGCTCTGTAGGCCTGAGGAGTGACAGGAGAACCGTGGGGACACACACAGACAGAGCTCAGCTTACACAGGAAACTGCTGAGACATGCAGGTCATGTCTGTTTCCATGTTTACCGACCGAGGCAGACCAGCACATACTCGTTCACTGCGTAATCAAATTCTTTGTTTTGTGTGCTGTTGGACAAAGTTTTGGCTAAGACAGCATTGCTTGCTTGACAAAGTGGTAGCTGGTTTTGTCCACCGAGGACTACAGGTCAGCTTGACTTTGTTTTATTACTGTTGTTTGAGAACATGTATGCAAGTGTGCACAAACTCTCAAGAACATGCATGAATACTGCACATGCATACACCTCACCTACAGTAATTGAGTTTTCTGAAGGTTAAACTGGACACAAACTAATCTGTTTTGGCCTCCAAGGGCAACCCTCCCCTGAAATAATGAGCTTCGTAGTTTACCCTTTACTAAACCTCCCCAGTAGACCACAGATGGCCTTTCAATTACCAAGCTAAAACATGCAGAATGGCAATGCATGGCATTATCAATGGACATGCAACAGGGACCACCTTCTCAGTAAGCAGGCGAGCACACACACACGCACACAAACACACACACACACACACACACACACACACACAGTTGCAGAGATGCTCAGGCACATGATGACAAATACACAAGCATATGGTGTATGTACACACACTTGCATGTGTGGACACGCACACATAGAGCCAGATTACTTTGCCTATGTGCTTAGCAAGCAATCTTTGTTGGGGTCACCACTCCTCACCCCTGCAGTGCACCAATCTATAAAGCCAGCCCTCTGGGACACAGTCAAGGCAAAGTGTTTGTAGAGTGATCTGAAGTTAGTTTCTGTGCTGCTGCTGCAGCTGCTGCTGCTGACTGGTCTACCTTCTAAATGGAGTATGCAGCAAAAGAAGACAGACTGTGAGGTTTTTGATTCTATCAACTCATCCATGTGACATCAGACCATGTTCTCTCTGATTTGCCCTGATAACCCTTCACCACTCACCGTGTTACATTAGACAGGTCGTTATATCCAAAGTAAGAAAACACACTTTTTTGAAGTATTTCCACAATAATACAATATAGTATAAAATTATGTACTTTTTTTATGATCAAAATGTTGTCATATGCCCATTTAAGTGTTGGAATGTTCAAATCCTCACTCCTGTAACATTTTCTATGGAATAGATCAGCATTACTTTACCATATGGTGTTAAACCTTTGAGATGCCAATCACCTGCTGTCACTGAACAAAGTGTTAAACAGTTGCTGCTGATTGTGGGCGAGTTGACCAACAGCTTCATTTGTCATGATCTATTATGAAAATAACATATGTGCAATTTTTTATACAATATTTATAGAATATATGCTGATAGATGGAAAAACAAATCATGATGGGGAACCTCTGTAATCTTTACATTTCAGTGTGACAGCTAAATGTTACTTTTGGATGATTTTAGTGTGAAATGTTTGCCTGAATGTGTATTTTTTCAAATAGGCTCATTCTCTGACATGATGAGATGAGACAGTTGTGAAAAGCTATATGTATGCAAGTCCTACTGTTTAGGAATATATAATTCTCTATTGATATGCTAAAAAGACATTTGGGGTTTTAAAGGCAGATATCCAACAGGGATTCGTGGGCTAGCAGAGGGTAGCTGCATAATCAGCTCCACCATCAGCTAACTGATATTCTGCACACTAGAGATGGGATTTCTGGGTCAGTGTGTGCATGTGTCTGTGTGTGTGGTGTGTGTGTCTGTGTGGTGTGTGTGCGTGTGTGAGAGTGTGTGGCGGTAGTGGTGGGGGGTTGTCCTTTTATCTCCATGAATGTGTGCATGTCTGCATGTGTCCTTTCTGCATGCGTATGCATGTGTTCAGTCTACGTCTGTATGCTAATCTGTGTGTTTATGTGTGTGTGTCAGGAGCTGCGACCTCTTTCCCCACAGGGAGGACAGTCCCAGTCTCATTAGGGAAGAGAGACTGAGTGAGACGGACAGATAGACAGACAGATGGGAAGGAAGAGAACAAACAAAAACACAGAAGACGGGGGGAAAGAAACACGGGGAGCAGCAGTGGAAAGCAGGCATAGAATGTATTAGGGGTCAAAGGTCACTTATGCATTACCCCAATGAGCAGAAAGGGCCATGGCAAAGGAGGTCATAACAGTTTTTTTATTCACACACACACACACACACACACACATCTCCCACTTCCCTCCATATGATATATGTCACAATCCAGACTTGACTGTAGTTTAATTGAATCAAGAGCCTGTGTGGGTGTTTGAGGTTTAGGAAACAGGGGAAGAGGGGGTGTGGGGGTAGATGGCAAAAGTGTGTGTGCTTATATAGACAGAAAATTTGATTGTTCGGTTCCATGTGTGTATAAAATCACCCAGGGCTCTGTCTGTATATGTGTGTGTGGTGGCGCGCATGTGTGTCGGTGTCTGTGTATGTGTGTGTTTGATTACTCAGATCTTAAGAGTCTTCATCCAGCCTGTTTGGCTATGTTGACACAGAAGGCATGGTCAACATTTCTTTTAAGTTAGAATAAGGGTATGGTATCTTTTTTTTGTTCAGACAGAGCAAAGTTTATGTAAGAACAGAGGGAAAGAGGAGGGAGGGGGGAAGAAACTACAAGAGCAGCTATAAGTCTGAGAAAATCAAAGGACAAAATGTAGCTCTGGTTATTGTACTCACGTATCATATTCAAGTCATTAAAGGATATTGAAATCACACTTTGTTGGAGAAAGAAAAAAGGACTGGGAGTGAGAGAGAGGCAGAGGTTGAGTGATGGGAGAAATGCTGAGTGAACGTCATGATAATCCCAGAAAAAAAGAATAGCACTGAAGTACAAAGCAACCACAACTGAAGCCCTAAACCTCAAGGAAGCCCACCACCTTATGATTACAGAGCCATGCGGTTTATCTGGCAGGAGGTTCTTATATTTATTACTGTCATAATCTAAACTCCTCCTGTGTTCATTTTACAAAATGTAGGCAAACACATGCCTAAAAGATCAGGTTCTTTAACATTTGTGACTTTTCCCGAAAACTCACACTTCGTAGTATCCCAGTGTACACACA